CAAAGAAATATAATTCCTCTTCGAAGCTGCTAACTTCTTCTCAAATCTCTCCACTACCGGGCTCCAGAAGGTCAAAGACCTAGGGTTTGCACCTAAAGGGAGTCCTAAGTACTTCATAGGCCAATCATTGGACACACACCTGAGTTCCCTTGCCCACAACTCCAACGCCTCCCGCCCATATTTACCCCAGCTACTACACTTTTATTGAGATTAACCTTCAAATTTGTCAACATCTCAAACAAGCTCAATAACCTCCTCAGATTCCTAGCCTCCTCCTCACCTTCCCCCTCACAAAAAATAATGATGTTGTATGCAAATTGAAGATGGGTTACCAACACCCTGTCTCTCCCCACTCTCCACCCACTTAAAACACCCATTTCATCCGCTTTTATGATCAATCTGCTGAACACCTCTGCAACAATAGTAAATAGAAACGGTGAAAGTGGATCCCCCTATTTCAGACCTCTCATTAGCACCAAAAAAATCTATAACCAATCCATTCACCAAGACTGAAAGATGACAAGATTTTAGGCAACCTCTAATCAACTTGCACCATCTTGCACCAAAACCACAATTGCTCAAAGCTTCAATCTCTTGATCCCAGTCCACAAAATCGTAGGCTTTCTCTAGATCCAACTTCCACACAATACCTTTCCTCCCATTCTTCCTAAAATCCTCTACACACTCATTTGCAATGAGTAGTTGATATGAAATCTGTCTTTCTTTGATAAAGGCTCCTTGACACTGTGATATGATTGATGGAAGTACCCTTTTTAGGTGGTTGGAGAGAACCTTGGCTATGATTTTGTATTGACTTGTCACTAGGCTGATGGGTCTAACCCCTTTACTTATCATCCCTTTGTGGTAGAATTCCTCAAAAACTTTCATTAAATCCTCCTTAAGCCACTCCCAACAATCTTGGTAAAAAGCCATGGTAAATCCATCTGGACCCGGAGCCTTGGACCTATCCATTGAGAAAATAGCTGCCTTCACTTCCTCCAACTCAAAACTACTTTCTAATTCTCTACTCAAGGTGCTATCTAAAGCAGGCCATGTCAAACCCTCTAAGATCCATCTATTCTCTACTGGCCTTCTATAAGTTTGTTTGAAGTGATCCACAAAAGCCTTAGCAATGTCATCCTGTTGGGTGATGATAATTCCATTTTCTAATTCTAGCATAGAGATGCAATTTTTCCTTCTCCTACCATTTGCGAGTGCACGAAAGTATCTAGTGTTCCCATCACCTTCCTTTATCCACCTTTCTCGTGACTTTTGTTTCCATGATATCTCCTCTCTCAATAGTGTAACTTCCAACTCTTTTTTCAAATTTGTCTTCTCCTCTACCAAGCCCATTTGTCCTTCTTCTTTTCTATCAATCTCTTCAATCTGACTAATCAAGGTAGATTTTCTTTCTTCGATCCTCCCAAACTGATTGGAATTCCACTCCTTTAACTTTTCTTTCAAATTCTTAAGCTTTCTATGGAATCTAATCCCTTCCCATCTAGCCACCAAGGTGTCCTCCTCCCACCAGCTTCTCACCTTTTGCACAAAGCCTGGGACTATGAGCCACATATTTTCAAACCGCAAAGGCTTTGGTCCACCCCCATTCCCTTCTTGAGTAAGACAAATTGGCTAGTGATCCAACATGAGCCTAGGTAATATTCTACCTGTCAATTCCCCCAATGATCCTCCCACTCTTGTGTCACTAGAAATCTATCTAACTTGGATAAAGTAGGGCTTTCCTGACAATTGGTCCAAGTAAATCTGTTCTGTCCTGTCATGACCTTCAGTTCTAAATCTTCTATAAATCTGTTAAATCTCCTCATGCTGGTGGTCATCTTTTGTCTTGGGTTATTTGATTCATCTGTGTCTAATCACATTGAAACCACCTCCCACACACCAAGGCCCTTGCCACAATCCTCTAACAACTGCCAGTTCGTCTCACAATTCATTTCTATCCCTATAAGAATTTGGCCCGTAAACATTTGACATCACCCAAGTGAAATTATCACTTACATTCCTCAGTTTTACAGACACTGAAAATCTGCCTATCAACTCCTCTAAGCACTCCACCAACTCCTCATTCCACGGTGTGATTATTCCTCCGGAAGCACCCCAAGATGGTGCATGAGCCCATCCTATACCCCTGCCCCCCCCATATACTTCTCCCCTCTACCTTATCCTTCCTATTTTCTACCTCTCCTGCTAAAGCTTTTCTCTCCCATCTCCTTGTCCTTCCTCCTGTCAATTTTTATCTTTTCCACCTGCCTCCTCTTTCTTCTTCCTTTGAGCTCATTAACCTTTTCTTTCTTCTTTTGCTTTTTTTCTACAAGTATGTTAGAGACTCTCAAACCTAACCTCTCTGCCCATTCCCTTAGAGAAAGATCCTCATTTGACTTAGAGACCTCTGAATTCACCTGCTTTTCTAGCTTCTCTTCTTTTCCTACTTCTTTTCTCCTTCCTATCACTTTATTTGTTATTATCTCTCCTTTCTTTCCTTCTTTTTCCTTATGCCGCTCTAATTCTCCCTCCCCTTTGCTCCTAGCTCCTCTCTCATTTGCAATCACTGTATTCAAAGGCTCATTCAGAAGTTGGTGGGATTCTGAAACTCCTGCACAGGCACTAGAGAAACCATTAGTCGCCAAAATAGAATTCACAACAGTACCTTGAAGATTTGGGTTGATGAAAGAAAGGTTCGAAGGCAAATCCTTACCAATCATCCTCAAACCCTCCGTAGAAGGTGTTCCAAGTTGGGTTTCTACAGCTGCAATGCTGACAGTTTGAGCTGTTGATGGTGCCTCGGCCCTTGTTTGTGTCTCTGCGTTCAACCTTTGGCTATTCTCCCTGTTCGTAATGTCCAACCCTTGTGTTTGCTGTTGGTTTTGGTCGGCTTTCCCCCTTTCTGAGTTCGTATCGTCCTCCTGTCCAGAACAGACCTGCGTGGCTAAGATTTTGCTATCTGGCTTGCTCTGAGATCGTCGCTCGTCTATCTAGAGATTGAAAAAACGGTCCAGAACACAATCCTCCATTTCCAGCACTGCATCAGCTTGATGTTCAACCACACTTCCTATGCTGTTTGACTTGTCGGACCTTTTAAAGTACTCTTCTTATTTTGAACTGCACCAATCCATGTCATCGTCTTCTTTCTGACCCTGCCGGGAAAATCATGGGTTTGGATGCCCCATTGAGCAATTAGATCTAGGCATCCAATTCAGTTTGACCCCTTTCATGCCTGTGATAGCCCCTCTAGAGGTCAGGGACAAAGATAGACCAACACTTTGGTCTCTCAACGACACCCCCCAACCTCATGTGATTACTAACACGCCCTCGTACTGGCTAGTCTCCAACTGCTTGAACCGGTTGATCGGACCAAGCCTCGGTTCGGACCATCGACTCCTTCCTCTTGTCCGCGTGTTCTTGGGAACAGACCTGTCGCTTCTCCTTAGGTGGGCCCTGCACACCCCACAACTTTCCTCCCGACTTTAGGACTTCCTTATAGGAGTAAAACCCCGCCTTGCTATAGGGGTTATTTGAACAAAACTCTCTTTCTGAGAAAAAGCCCGCCCTCTTCTTAAAGTATGACTCACTCTTCTCTGCCACACCCTCCACTTGTTTGCTTATGTGTCCTTGTTCTCTTCCCCTAACGCCCCCACATGTCGCCTACCCAACCATGTCAAGTTCTTCTTCAACCTTTGGACTTCTACTCTAGAGCGATGCTTCCACTTCCGATGCTACCCACACTTTGCTCCAGCAACCTTCAACAAAATTTTCCTCCGAAGCGGAACTCTTTCCGGCTTGACGCCTGCTACTCTTAAGCGAGCAGCTCTGAGATCCAAATTTTTGAAGGAGACAAGCATCCCTTCCATGGCGATCGCCACCTTTTCCAGGATGGATTTCTGCCACAGATTGAATGGCAGTCCAAGCAATTTCACTTGAAAACAACCGTCTACGAGATCCACTGAGTTGCAGGAGGACCACCAGCTTTCGACCAATATCAGCCTTTCTTTCGTTTCTACAGTCGTAGACTCCAACTGTGCATTTCCCACATCTAGCACTGCCTTCTTATCAGAAAAAGGGATTAGAATAGCCGTCCTTTCCAGGCCTATTTTTTCCGACACCTCCTCTAAGATCAGTTTCCAATCCTTCACTTCATTCTTCGTTGATAATATTAGCTTTTGCTCCCAGTCACCTTTTTCCCCTTCCACCAAAATCTTTGGTATAGGCGCAGAGAGAGTAACCGACGTAGCTCCATTATTTTCCTCCTTTTCTTCAGTCCCCGCTTTCTCCAATAATTTCCTCCAAACTTTCAAGTCCTCTTTCCTTCTCAGGGTATTTTCCTTCACTACATGCTTCTTAGATTGTTCCTTCTTAAATCTATAAAACAGATTTTATTTTATTTTATTTGTGTTTTCTTCATTGCTTTCAAAATATGAAGGAGAAGCAGTTTGTCTGGTGGTTTCAAGAATCATGGCTGTATCTTAGGGTGAAGGTTCCGCATTTGTTGTGATAATTTATTGTGGAAATAATGGATTGTTTGTAAATGCAATTCCGAAAGGTAAGCTAGTGGATATTAATCTTCATTTACTTATTATTTTCTTATTTCTTGCCTTTATTGGGATACTAAACAATCAGTGAATCAGACTGGTCATAAAGGTGGCTAAAACACCATTATAAAGGCTGATGGGGGCATTAATATGTTTCACTGTAAGATCACAACAACAAATCCAGAAGATTCAGCCTCATGAATTTTGACTTTAAGATTGGTTTTCTGTTAGGAATTTTTTAAATTCTTTTGTTGTCACAAGTGTCAGAAAAGTTATCAGTGGCTTATTGTTTTGCTTGAATATTTCCTCCATATGGTCCATTTAGTTGAACCGGTGTTATTTGTTACTGGAAGTTATTGTTATTACTTTTTTGTAAGTTATGCGAAGAGAAATGGTTGTTGTAATATGAAAAGTTCTGGGCACTTTTTTTAATATCCTGTCCTCAAATTGGCTCAGGCACTCTTTTCGTCCTGTCACATGCTTATGGTTTGTAGTCATCTTTAGTCCCATTTGGAATATCATTTTTTCAGTTCAAGGTGTTACATTGAACAGAATGTTCTTGGTAAATGAATTTTGACAGGAAGAGAGAAACAAAAATCGAAAATTAGATCGAGACAATGATAGAAGGTATTCTTTTCTAGCAATTTTTGATCTTTATACTGGACAATGCTGAATGCCTTGAATATTTATCATCTTTTATTTGATTAACATTTGATGCTTCTCCAACATAAAATTGAATCTTTTTACTCAGATCAAAAGAGCGAAGCCGAGAACATGACAGGGCAGGTAGCAGGGACCGAGGCCGTGATAAGGAAGAACGAAGTGGTAGTCGAGAGCGAGGAAGGGATTATGATCATAGGAGTAGAGACCGTGATAGGTGTTATGACCGTGATCGTGGGTATGATCGGGAACGAGATAGAGATTCTGACCGCTCACGCAATTATGATTCAAGAGGTCACCGAAGGTCACGCTCACGGGAACGGTCAAGGGACTATGATCGCCACAGGTAGTGGTCCTTTATTCTTAGATGTTTTGGCATAATATGCTTTCTCTCTTGAAATGTTTTTATTTTCAAATTACAGCTTCAGTTTTGAGACATTTATGGTCAGATGGGAGGTCAATCCTGTTAATTATCTCATTGTAGTTGGCAAATGGATTGGTAATTGCATTGTTATCCTCATGGTAAGGTGATTTTATTTATGCCTTTGGCAAACTGCAGCATCCATAACCAGTTGACTAATTGGGTACTCAGTAATGATGTCTTCCTAGGCTCTTGCCTTGGCTGGGGTCCTTGCCAGGGGAAGGGCTAATTCAAGCAAAGTTACATTCTTCCTGGCGGTTTCTTTTGAAATAGTTCAGTGCTTTAGTTTGCTCACCTGGTTGAAATCAGAAATTTTAGGACTTAACCAATAACCATATGACAACTTATTTCTGCCACATGAATGAATCCTGTGGCTGATCTGAACCATCCGTCAGATAGGGGATCCTCCGGAACTGCTATGTGTTCACTCCTTAAGTTCACATCCAATTGAGCTCTGTAGTCTGTAGTCTGTACCCAACCTTAAATTGGAATATGGTCCAATTTATAATAGCTATCTGAGCTTTCACTTTTTTAAATTTAGAAGATGTGGATAAAAAGGTACTTCTAAAGCACATGGCAAGGCGTTTTTTGGTTGAAAATTTATTCAAGTATGGAGTGATGAGTGGAATCTGGGTACTCTTTTTGAGTCCCAAAATGAGTTTGCCACATGGAAGTTTTCTTTGGTAGTTTAAACTTCGTACAAAATGCTAGAATATTCATCACGTTGTTGCTCTATTAAACGAAAAAATTGCAAATCTGCTCCCAGATATATACATACATTGTACTAGTTGCATATAATTTTTGTTGTCATACACTCATGCCAAGAATAATATTTATGCTGCTATGTGTTTTTTTCTTTATACTTGATTATTGTGCTCAGTGATCTGAAATATGAAAATTGAGGCTATGCACTAGGTTTTTCATGTTTGATCTTCTTTTTCTTCTGGTGACTTGGTAATAAGATGATAAAGCTGTATCATTACGGCCCTAAGTACCATTGGTAGTCTATCACTCCACAACCTTTTCTTTTGGGTGCTAGTAGATCCACAGAATTGGACCTATTCATGTGTTTGTGATACTGAACTACAGATCTATGGGTGTCAATATGAAGATTACAAGGTCTCTCGACCATTTTAACCATCCATAGCCATTATAATTGGAATTGTTACTGCTTAGGCTATTTTATCCTGGGTTGCTTTGATTATTCCAGCATCTTGGCAATGCATATGTATTCATGCTTCTTCCCGTGTGTAGTAGTCATGATGAATATGTATATAATGAGTGTGGACGGTCTGATGGACAATGGAATTTAATGAAAAAGAAATAATTCTTGATCAACCTGTTTTTAGGTTTTTCTCCACTTGTTCTGATATATTTACAAATCAAGTCTGAAGCCTTCTTTAATGTGTACCCATTGCTAAAAATTTGGCCAATCATATAACAATGAGAGCTATTTTAATCAGTGCCTTTTCACTCATATGATAGTGAGGAATAGCCAACCGAGACCATGCATCTAATGGAGATGATTCTCTGGATTACACTGTTCATTTCACCTGTACCTGCTGCCTTGTATTTGATTCTTAGTAACTGTGGAACCTGTTACGAAAATGTCTGGAAGCTTTCTTTATCCAGGTGTGGTTTTTGAGGTGAGGGATGGCTTGAATGTTGTTTGGTCTTTAAGTTGTTGAATAGGATGCTATGTTTTGCAGAAATCATTTGAAGGAACCTTGGAGTAGCACCAGTTAGTGGTAAAATGAGAGAAAGTATAGATGCCTAGATGGTTTTTTCACGTGCATAGAAGACCTTTGATAGCATCCTTCGATGGTTTTATCACGTCATAGTAGTAACAAATGATTTAAGTGCTAACAATTTTAATAATGGATATGGCATTGAACAGCATGGAATGGCGAAACAGTATTCATGTAGCTTACCCCATAGATATATAGTTGGGATAAAGGCTCGGATGATGATGTTGATGATAACATGGATCTGAATTTGATTCATTAACTTGAATCTTATCCATTGGATTGAGATTGGACTTGTACCTCGCTTGGAGCCTTGCATATCATATATCATCGTTAAACTAAACTGAAGAATGCTAAAGTATTATCTGCATTATTAACGAAATGAAGTTTGAATTACTTATGAAAATGATAAATAAAATGAAGTTTGAATTACTCAACAAATCGATAAATAAAGTGAAGTTTGAATTAAATAAGATTACTTTTAGGAGGCTCTTGCCTATTTGGTCAAATTCAAACCAACTTTGCTAATAAACATGTCTGTTCTCCCTGGTTGTGTTTTGGATATAACAATTTCATTCATAAATATGCCTGTGTAATTAATAAAACATCCAGTGCACCAAGGTGCAAAATATCAAAATGTATGACAGCATAAAATACGCATCATTTTTCAGGCTCACTAATGTACTATATTAAGATCCAAGGTTTTTATACTGTTTTAAATGATAGAACATGACAGCCCATTTCTACTGACAACTGATCAGAACAAAGAGGAAAGGAGTTTCGTTTGATTGAAATTCTTGAAATGCAAATTTTGCGTATTGAGGGTATTGATACTTTTTTTTTGGATCTTCTAATCCTTGTTCCTTTGGTAATCTTTCAATGCAGGCGTTATGATCGGTACTGAACTGTAATGAAGCTGAAAGAAGTGGGGTTGGAATGTTTTGGTTAGGTTTATGTCCAAGTTAACTTTTAATGGGCAAGATGTTCTGATTTGGTTTCATATTTTCCCAGTAGTATTCAGTCGGTACAATCTGGTATTTTTTTTTTATTTTTGTTTTTTTTGCTCTATTTATTTTTCTGCTTGGAAAGTAACGTTTATGATAATCTATTTAAGCAGATGCTTTGTACGTCTGGATTTCTACAGAATGTTAGCTATTGTAATGTGTTCTATGCAGTAATCAGTACCACTTTCTGTTTCTTGTCTTCAAATATAGAATAATTCTTGTTTTGGAGACCATATATGTAGAGGTGTAAATCGGGCCAGGCTGCCCGTGGCTTGGCATGGCCTCACATGATTTTGAGCCAGCCTGGTCCGATGGTTCACGGGTGTGCTATGGCCCGGCATGATTGTATGGGCCGTTGGGCTCTGCTGGGCTTGGGGTTTTAGGTCGGCGGGCTGGGTTGGCACGGCTCACACTGTCGTGCAGTGTTGCATGTGGCCCGCGGGCTGACACGGCTTGGCTTGCAGGTCCGTAGTGGGTTGTGCTTGGCTCGTCTGAAGAACTAGTCATTCGAGACACCCCACCCCCAATGGCTAGTTTTAACTTTTTTGGGTTTTTTTTTTATAGAAATACCCCCTAATAATTGAAGGGGGTATTTATGTATTTTGACTATAGGGGGAGATAAAATGACAATAATGCCCCTTAATAACTATATAATAGCTAGTTTAGGGGGGTATTTAGGTCAAGTGGTAAATGACTTTATAATGACCAAAATACCCTCATAATTAAAAATCGCTAGTTTTTTGGGTATTTTGGAAAATTAAATTTTTTAATTCTTATAAATAGTCTTATCTTCCACCATTTTTATCACACCAGTTCTCATATTTGGTCTCTTATACTTTCTCAAATCTCAATCTTGTCTCATACATCATACTTTTTAATTCTCAACTTGATTCAAGTTTCAATAAGAGGAAAGTTTGCTCGGGTATTTCAAGTAGGGCTGTTCACAGGTCGGGTTGGGTCAGTTTACTGCGATTTTTCCAACCGGCCTGACCTGGTCGGGTTACCTGACATAAAAACCGAAACCGACCCAGTATTAAGCAAAACCGACCTGGTCGGTTTGAGTCGAGTTGGGTCGGTTTGGGTCGGTTTCGGTTCTAAGTTCATACTTGTGATAAAATCTTGCTAATTTTAAAAACAGTCATAAATTGAACATCATTTCAGCCATCTCCTATGATAAAATTTAAATTAAAAGTTAATCACAAAAGTTGTTCATTAATCACTATTCACTAATCCAAAGTTTCTTGCAACCATTCAAAAACTAGGTGGCCTAATGGGCTTTGGAACTTCATGTTTGAACTAAGTCGGTTTGGTTCGGGTTGGTTTCGGTTTTCTTGTGTGAAAACCAAAACCGACCCGAATCATCAGTTTAGGAATTTACACAACCCGAAATCGACCCGTGTTGATGAAAACCCGGTCGACTCGGGTTGGGCCTTCTTATGAACAGCTCTAATTTCAAGTTAGTAATTTGGGAGACTTGGAGGCTTCAACCGTTGAAATCAATTTGAAATTTCGAATCGGCAATCTGGGTAAGTGCAATTAAATTAATTTTTATTTTTATAGTTAAAAAAATAGTTGGCTCCTCTCGTTCTTGACACCAATTCCCCAACGTAATCAATGTCGACGATGTCGATGTTCAGTTACAATATGATAGTGTTAGTGTCGATATGGATGCTACTAATATTGTTGACGTTCCCATCCTTAGTACTATTACTATGGGTAGGGGAAAGAAAAAGGAGAACACTAGGTTGATTAGTCTGGTTTGGACAATATTTAAAATAGAGGACGTAGAGGGGAAGGGAAAGAGAGCCATTTGTCAAAAATGTAGTAGTGACTTTAGATAGTGGTATTGGCCACTTTAGCCGACATTTGAAATGCCATTTAATGAAAGAAGAGAGAAAATACATGTAATTTCACATTTTTATGGTGAAATTACACTTCATACAAAGTCAAACTATTAAAATACATGTCTCTTATGTATAGGGTTATCAACAAAGGAAACTCATTAATTAATTAAAATATAAGTTTAATATAACTACCAGAAAATTCCACCAATGTTAATTACATCATATTACATTTTTACCCAAAATAAAGTAGGTCTTTCAATTCTTTGTTTTGCTAATATATAATAAATACATTTTTTAATAAATATTTTGATTTCCATGGTGTATCCATGTGTTTTTTCATTTTTCTACCTTAACCATGTATATCCTAAGTATATCCAGAATCCGAATACATTTCTTTGAATTGCCACTTCAATATTTTTTTGCATTTTTGGTATTTTGAACCTTACATTCACTTTTACATCACATAAGTAAAGTGTGATTCATCTCTTGAGTAAAAATGGTGTGGAAGGTGAGTGCTAAAGATGCCTATAATGAGATACAAGGGCAAGGGTTTGCATCCTCTCCCAACCCTTTACTATATATTATAGCTTATTAAAATATATAAAATATATAGATGGATTTATAAGCAGGCATTGGGAGCAGATGCCCGCATCAAATATAATTGTGCTTGGGTAATAGGTACCCTAAGGTCAATACCCAAACATGTCCCAAAGCCTATAGGGTTTTAATGAAAAAAAAAACCCCCACCCCAATTGCAGGGTTTTGATAAATGGCTCCGATTAGGATCCAAATGGGTTGGCTGTCCTAAAATTCCCATGAAATTTTCATCCCTACTGAAAGTGGGTTTGGGTGTAACTTCAGAAAAATGGTATGCTTTTTGCAACTTTTTTGTTAAATCCCTTGTTTCAAATGATTTACATGTTTGAACACTTGAAATATATAATTATACTAGTGTTTGGTTGAAAATCTTAAATTTTTAGCTCTTATAATTAGATATATGGGTAAAATTAGGAAATACAAAATTTGATGTTTCGCTAGAAATTATAATATGGATCTTCCTATTTAAGTAATTAAAAAAATAATTTCAAAATATAAAACAACTAGTTTCATATCATTATTTGCGTCTTGGATTAATTGATTTTCTATCATTACTTCTAAAGGTCTAATGGATGAAGGTTCTAATTTTTTTTGAAATAAAGATTCTATTTTTACTTTAATTATTATTCAATGAGTTAATTTAAAATATAAATAACATTAAAGTATTCTACTAGATTGGAGCTAAGACATCAATTGATGCATCATTTGTAAAGTTATTGGATAATGTCTATGCATTCTTATATATTGATTGTAATGCATTTCTTCATAGATAATATTATAAATATATACCTTATTTATGGTTATTAAGGACTTTGTTCAGTGTTGCCGGTGTAATTTTAGATTTGGTTATGTTTCCAAATCATGTTAATGCTTATCTTAATTTGTCCATCATATCCAAGGTGTATCTTAATATGTCTTTTAAAATTGTTTTTTTTTTTTTTTTTCAAATAGGGTGGATGGTGATTAGCAATGGACTGTTCAAATCTGAGGGTAAAAGTTGATGTTTTATCATATTTGGGCATTTGGATTTGGATGGATTGTCTAACCTTTGATCGAACATATTGAGTTAGGGTGATCATTTTTAGCCCGAGCCAAGAAATTTTCATGTTTGGGCTTAGGTTTCATGTTCAGGCCTGACCCATATGATAGATCATCCCCAGCTCCACACTATAATTTTTCTCTATCATTAGATTCAAGCAAAAAATATAAAACTTTCTCTTTTCTTATAATCCTTTTCCCCAATTCTTTGGAAAAAAATCCATAGATCTATGTACAAGAGTAAAGAATTAAAGATTTTTAACCAAATATTAGTAGAGATCTATATCTATATCTGTACTACTATGAAAAGTACAAATATGCTATCAAGATTTCTGGAATTTTTTTGACAGAAATTGTCCATATGTTTAAAGATGCTCATACTTGAAATAGAAGGTCAATAATGTAAAATTAAATCAATTACAACATTTATAGCATTTATTTCTTTAGGAAATAATACCACTTTTTAAGTTACTCCTATAACAGTCATTAATTACAAAGCAATTGGGATCCATGTAATTGGATTTCAATAGGGATTTTCCATGTCCACTCAGTTTGTGACATGTACACAAGGTCAAACCTTTAACTTAATGCATCTCTAATGAAAAGTGAAAATCAAGAGAAAAGTGCTTTGATTTATTTATTTTATTTTTTAAATATCAAAACCAAAGTTGATGGCTCATCGTTTGCTATTTCTTGGACTCCCTTCAACCCAAACAAACCTAGAGAAAAGTTGTAAGCCAAATCAAATTTCAAATTAATGGTAAGAGGCAAAGTGTAAGAAAATCTTTCAACCCCTTGTCAAACAATGATGTAAAAGATACACTTCAACCTAATCAAGGATTAAAATATCGATACTATACGCATATCGGTATTGGACTGCATCGATACGGGATATGCTACGACTGTAGTGTATCCTTGTTAGTCGTACGTATCGATATGATACGTTACTGTATCGGCACGTATCGCATAGTATTGGCTGATACGCGTTGATACCGAAGTGTATTGACCATCATTTTGATGCAACATCTCATAATAAAAAATGAAAATAGCGAGACTCAAACCCACGCCAATCAATGCGTGCTTAATGTTCAGGCGCACATTAATCACAAAGCCACTTGTTAGTTAGTGTTAAAAAGTGTAATAAAATATATTTTATTAAACTTAATGTTTACATGCAAACAAAAAACAACATATATTTATTTTCAAAAACTTCAACTACAAATAAAAAAGAACAATATTCAAAATTAGCATTTTATAAATAAAGGGAATAAATAATTTATAAAATCCACACACACACACACACACACACACACATATATATATATATATATATATATATATATATATATATATATAATGAATTTTAATTTTAAAAATTTATACAAATAAAATATTCATAATAGAATAATTATTTTAATACTTAAATTTTATAAATTTGCATATGATATATATCTTAAATTTTTATAATTTATTAATTAATATTTTAATTTGCATTAAATAACAATGTATTTATTATTTACAAAAATAAAAGTATTGTTTACAAAGTATTTGAAAATATAATATAAATTGAATCTATCAAATCCATTAATCTACATTTTATACTAAAAATAATTTTTAACTTCAAAATTTTGTAAAAATAAATTATAATAATAGAGTAATTATTTTAGTAATTAAAATTTATGAATTTTTATATGATATGAATTTTTAAAATTT